TAATGGCAGGGGGGAAGCAGCCCCACAAAGGAACAGATCCCAGCTTGCAGCTCAGGATGAGCAGACGTGCTGTGACCCACAAAAGCTCTGGGAGGGAGGGGGTGGGGCACAGGAGGAATGTCCTCTCTTCCACTGGATGTACCAGAGCAGTGTGCTGTCCCCAGAAAAGCCCAGGGATCTGTAACCCTCTCCACAGGACAGGCAGGACAGCCTGGCTACCGGGACCTTTGTCAAGGGGTGTCTGTGAGGTGGTGGCTTTGGGGTACTAGACTGGATTCCCCAGTGATCCCAGCACAAACCCAGTGAGTCTGGGGTTCTGCTTGCATGAGGATGGGAAACCGAACCACAAGCTGCCATCTGCATTCAGCCAAGCCAGCCAGAAACTTCCAAAGCCCCTGGCAGCCAGGCCTTCTTTGCACACAGCAGCTGGTTAAATAAAAATACAGAGAAGGGCAAAGGTCTGACCCTAGCCTTTGCCAGGTGAGTGTTTGCACAGAAGGGCCTCATCCTCACAAAAGGAGAAGCAGCAAGTCCGCCTCTGCTTCCCATCTAAGAAGCAGGAAACAGCCCCACAGCATCTCACCCCCCAGCACCCCAGAGGTGCCACCCCTCCATGCTGGGAAATGATGCTCCCCGCTCACCACCCACCCTGCAGAGAGCATTGCAGCCCACTCAGCCCTTACCCAGAGCCAGGTGCAGCACGGAGAGGCAGGTGAGGCTCAGCAGCAGCAGCAGCAGCAGGGGCCAGAGCAGGGGCAGGGCCAGCCCTCCTCTCTGCCCAGCCATGTCCAGGTGAGCAGGAGCTGACAGACCCCCACAGGCACTGCTCTGAGTGCTCCCCACAGCCCCAGCACTGGGGTTTCCAGGTCTCCTTCACCCAGCAGAGGAGGAGCATCCAGGTGGGTCCTTTCACCCTCCAGGTGCTGGCAGCGAGGCAGCAGGTTCCACCTGACACGGACACTCCCAGGGACTGGTGCAATGCCCAGCAAACATCAACTGCACGGCTGGACCCAGAACAGCCACAAAAAGTGGGCAGGACAGGCCACCAAGGCCACCACTACTACAGACCTGGCTCCTGTGGCCGTCCTCTGCCTGCTGTGGGGAGGGTGACAACGGAAAAAAGCCCAGGAATGCTCCAGGCTGCCCGGAACCCCGCACTCCGCCACGGGGGTGATGTTTGGTGGTGGCTCCCAGCACCAACGCCCTCAGGAGACAACAGCCAGCTCTGTCTGAGCCGAGGAGCTGGCCAAGGAACAGGCACGCTCAGCTCAGGAAGGGCGTGCCCCAGGCTGAGGGTTTGTCCCCTGGGCTGTCTGTGCAGGCATCACTTCCCCGTGTCACAGCACGGCCCAGGAGCACTGCTGGGGCTGCTTCCTCCTTCTAGGGTCAGGGACAAGAGCAGGCCCTGGGCCAGGTACGGCATTCCACAGGCAGGCAGGCGTGCTGGAGGATTGTCAGGGCATGGCCACCCTGCTGCTGAGCAGCTGCATGGGGGCACTGCCAGGGCACAGGCACACAGAGGCCATTGCCAGGGTGCTGGCACTCTGATGAGGTGCTCTCACACCACAGGCACGGGGCCAGGGTGCTGCAGGTACTCTGTGAGGATACAGAGGCTCTGCTGGGGTACAGGGACACCAGGAATCTGTGCATGGCCAGGGGCACTGGGGCAGGGTACAGTGTCCCTGTCCTGGCTGAGGTGCACAGAGTGGGCTGTCACCAGGATACATCTGCAGTCCCAGGATAAAGGCTCCTCCAAACAGCCACCAGGACACAGCCACAGTGACAGGACACAGATGCCCAGAAAGCTGCACTGCCAGGGGACAGCTCCCTGGGGGACTGCAGGGGTACATCACACTCCTTGGGGGTACAGGGTACATAGACTGTCCACATGGGGGTGTGTACACACAGGCTCAGTGCTGGGGGCACAGCCACATGGCAGTACTGTCACACCACAGCACAGGTCCCGCCCTGGGACCCAGCCACTGGCCTGCAGAGCCTGGAGACCAGCTGGCCCCTGGGGGAAGAAGCCAAGTGCTTTGCTGAGCAAGATGGGAGATGCTGTGGGGATTTGCCACCCTGATCCTGCCCTCCAGGTGCCCTGTGGCTGCACTCACCTGCAGTGTCACTGGGGGTCTCTGGTTCTGTTGGGATGGAAGTACCAGGGGTGGTCTCAGTGACCTCTGTGGTGGTACCAAGGGAGGTCATGGTGTCTGATGGGGTCGTCAAGGGCCCATCTGAAGTGTCTGTCACTTCTGGGGTGGTGGAAGCAGAGGTGGTGCTGGTCCCTGGGGATGTGCTGCCAAGCAGTGTGGTCATGGCTGGCTCTTGGTGGGGGCTGGTACCAAGCGTGGTGCCCACCCCAGTGGAGGAGAGAAGAGTAGAGGTGGAGGGAGGCAGCGTGCTCGTTTCAATTCCAAATGAGCTGGCAGCCAGGGCCGTGCTGGTCCCCACAGACGTGAAAGTGGTAGTCTCGTCACAGTTGGGTGTCATGGCCATGGAGGTTGGAGTTGGTGTGCTGGTGGTGGTGAGCCCCAGCCCTGCTGGGGTGGTGCTGGTAGTGGGTTCCAGCTCTGCTGGGGTGGTGCTGGTGGTGGTGAGCCCCAGCCCTGCTGGGGTGGTGCTGGTAGTGGGTTCCAGCCCTGCTGGGGTGGTGCTGGTGGTGGTGAGCCCCAGCCCTGCTGGGGTGGTGCTGGTGGTGGTGAGCCCCAGCCCTGCTGGGGTGGTGCTGGTGGTGGGTTCCAGCCCTGCTGGGGTGGTGCTGGTGGTGGTGAGCCCCAGCCCTGCTGGGGTGGTGCTGGTGGTGGGTTCCAGCCCTGCTGGGGTGGTGCTGGTGGTGGGTTCCAGCCCTGCTGGGGTGGTGCTGGTGGTGGTGAGCCCCAGCCCTGCTGGGGTGGTGCTGGTGGTGGGTTCCAGCCCTGCTGGGGTGGTGCTGGTAGTGGGTTCCAGCCCTGCTGGGGTGGTGCTGGTGCTGGGTTCCAGCCCTGCTGGGGTGGTGCTGGTGCTGGGTGCCAGCCCAGGTGACACAGGAGCGCTGTCAGCTCTGCTGCCCCTTGCCTGTGGTGTGGTGATGTTGGAGGCTGCCAGGCTGCTCTGCTGAGCTGTAGAAGCACTGGGTGTGAAGGCATCCATTGGCATCTCTGGGGTGGAGGTTGCAGGATGAGAGGAAGGGAAGGTGGCTGCAGTGCTTGAGCTGGTGTTGGACAGTGGTGCCGTGGTCTCTGTGGGTGTCAAGGAGGTTGGGAGAGTCAGGGGTGCAGGGTTTGCCATGTGGTCCCTGCAAAGAGGTGGGAGACAGCACACAAGGGCTGGCAGTGAAAGGCTGGGACCACAGCTGTGCTGGGGATGGTGCAATATTATTGCCACCATGACCTGCCCAAGTCTTGCATCAGCCATGGATCATCAGGAGTGGGGATTCCCTGTCCTGCATGGATCAAGCACGTGGATTCCCTGAACAGCAACGTGACAATCAGCCAGGCTGACCACATAAATCCCCAGCCTGACAAAGCAGGAACAAGCCATGGCCGTTGCTGGTTTCGGGACAGAAACTCCTCTGGGCGCCAGTCCTAAGACCCATTCCACCATCTTCACTCGTCCCTGGAGGAAGTCAGACAAACCTGTCTGACAGGAAGAGCCAAGCAGGAACTGGTGACCATGAGATGGTCTGGAAGTGCAGCAGCAGCAGTTTAAACAAACCCTCTGTGCTGCAGATAGTCAGGAACTGATAGCAGTGGGTATAAATAATGGCAATGGGGGAATGCTTGATGGAACTAGCCCCACAAAGAACAAATCCCAGCCTGCAGCTCAGGGCATGTCCATGAGAGATCTGTTGCAACCCACAAAAGCTCTGGGAGGGGGTTGAGGGGTGCAGCAGGAGGGGATCTACCGCTGTAGCTCAAGGCTCTCAGGAGGCACAAGCTGCAGGTTTATTCCCAGTGCTCCACTCAAGACTGCTCTTACTTTGCATCAACTGCAAATGTTGGGATGGCATTTGAAGGTCTCCAGGCCTAGTACCTCCCAGTGAGGTTGCCATCTGGGCAGGGCCTACTGGGCAAGTTGTAGGAAAGGCAATGAGCCTAGCAAGGACCAAGGCTCAGCAAGGGGGTCCAGCTGAGCCTAAGCTCTTTTCTCCCCAGATGGAGACCCACATCAGAGGCAAAGAAATAGTGCTTGTTTCTTGTGTTCTATAAAGCCTGCCCTGTTTGCTCACTAGGACAGGGATCTTGGAAAGCAAGCAGCACCCAAAGTGTTTCATCTCTGTGGGCAAAGTCACGCCAGGGCCAGCCACCACCCTGGAGTACAACACTCCTCACTCACTCCCCACCCCATGGATAGCTCCACACACCGCTCAGCCCTTACCCAGTGAGAGATCCAGCACAGCGAGGCTCAGCAGCAGCAGGGGCAGCCCTCCCATGCCCCGAGTCATGTCCAAAGCCAGCGCCCCAAGGCCTTGCAAGGCGAAGGACCCGAGGACACAGGGCGTGAGGAAGTTACCAGCAGGGAACTACGCTGCCGAGTGCTGGCTGGAGATAGTTGGAGCCGCTTCCTTGTTCCCGGGCGGACGGAGGGGAGGCACCAGCGGGCACGGACACCCCTCCCGGGGCAGGTGCAGCGCCTTGGGCGCGCCGGGGCCATGGGAGCAGCACCTGCGCCCGTGTGCGGGGGGCGGTGCCGGTGGCGGAGCCGCGCCCCTCGGGACACGGCCACGCCCGTGGGCACGCCCTTAGCGCCCGCCCCGGCTTGTGTAACACTCGGGGCCGCGTGGCTGCCAGCAGGGATCGGGATCGGGATCGGGATCGGGATCGGGATCGGGATCGGGATCGGGATCGGGATCGGGACCCGGACCCGGAGCCGAGGTATGGACACCAGGAGCGGATCGGGCCGGGGACCGTAACACCGTTATTCCCCGGTTCCCGAGGACCAGCACGGGCAGGGGACCGGCATCCCCCGGGCTCTGGGGGCGGGCCGGGGCCGGGATTCCCGAGGGAGCGCGGGAGCTCAGGCCGGCCTGTGTTCCTCTGGCAGCGCAGCCACGCTGCTCCGGGCGGCGCTGAGGATGCGGCGGGCACGGGGGAAGCGAAAGGCCGAGGCCACGGAGGTGCCGTGCGTGTCTCGGAGGAGGACGGAGGCAGAGGAGGCGATACAGGAAGCCCGTCGGAGGGCGGCCCCGTCCGTTCGAGAGTTCAAGTACAACAAAAAGCGGGTTCGCCTTGTCTCGCAGGGCTCGGACCTGAAGGATGATGCTCGGTGCATCCTTTACTGGATGTGCCGGGATCAGCGAGTGCAAGGTGAGAACCAGCCGGTGGAAGGGGCTCCCAGGGGTGGTTAAGCATAGTCCCTCCTTCGATAACCTTGGTGCTGGCCCCACCTCTACAGGGGGGTCTGGGGGGAAACTTCCTGTGAAGCCCCATCCCCATCCTATCGGTGAAGCACCCTCCTGACGCTGCCCTGCGTATTTTCCCCAGATAACTGGGCTTTCCTCTATGCCCAGCGCCTGGCCCTCAAACAGGAGCTGCCTCTGCACGTCTGCTTCTGCTTGGTGCCCAAGTTTCTGGAGGCCACCATCCGCCACTACAGGTTCATGCTGAGGGGCCTGCAGGAGGTAGCAGAGGTACAGCCAGGGGATGTCCGTGCTGGGTGGGACAGGGCAAATGGGGAAGGGGGGAGGCAGATCCATCCCTTCAGCAGATGGTGCTTGGGTAGGGCTTGCAGAGCCATGAACTGTCCCACAGCCATTTCCCTGTCGCTGCAGGAGTGTGCAGAGCTGAACATCTCCTTCCACTTGCTGCTGGGCTATGCCAAGGATGTGCTGCCCACGTTTGTGACAGAGCATGGCGTGGGTGGGCTGGTGACAGACTTCAGTCCCCTCCGCCTCCCCCGGCAGTGGGTAGAGGATGTCAGGGAACGCTTGCCAGAGGATGTGCCATTTGCACAGGTGGGTGCCAGCACTCTGGGAATGGAAAACTGGCTGGTCAGATGTGAGACAAACTTGTCTCCTGTGTCTGACTTGAGCAGAGAGCATGTGTATCATGTTGCCAGGATTCTTTGTTTCTCACACCCTTCTTCACGGTTGATGCCCACCCTGCTCCCAGGTTGATGCCCACAACATCGTGCCCTGCTGGCTCGCCTCCCCCAAGCAGGAGTACAGCGCCAGGACCATCCGGGGCAAGATCCACGCTCAGCTCCCTGAGTTCCTCACCGAGTTTCCCCCTGTTGTTCGTCACCCACATCCGCCCTCCTGCTCAGCAGAGGTACCAGCAGGAGACACTGAAACCCATTCATGGGCAGGTCTCAGAGTGTTTCATAAGTCCTTTGTGATCCTGGGAGGGGTTGGCAGGGAATGAGGACAGTGGCCTGCCTGAGGTCACACACAGATTGTGTGGAGATGAGGATGCCCTGGGGAAAGGGAGGTTCCCATCTCATTCATTCAGTTCCCACATCTCTGCCATGCAGAGGGCTAGTTAAAAGGAGGAGGCTGGCATGGACTGGGGACTTTGCTGGTTGGGGACATAGCATTCAGGTCACCCCTCACTGAAGAGATTCTGCAGATGCACTCACTGTTTGGTTGCCACCCAGCCCATTGCTTGGGAGGCCTGTTATTCCAGCTTGCAGGTGGACCACACCGTGAAGGAGGTGGAGTGGGCAACCCCTGGCACAGCTGCAGGGATGGCTGTGCTCAAGTCCTTCATTGCAGAGCGGCTGAAATCCTTCAGCAGCCACAGGAATGATCCCAACAAGGCGGCTCTCAGCAACCTCTCCCCGTGGCTTCACTTCGGTGAGTGTCCCAGGCTTCCCAGTCTGCAGCAGGACTGAGCATTGAGGCTTGGACCAGCAGCCTGACTTGTGCTTCCCCATGTCCCCAGGCCAGGTTTCCACCCAAAGAGCCATCCTGGAGGTGCAGAAGCACCGGCGCAGTTACAAGGACTCAGTGGATGCGTTCGTGGAGGAGGCTGTGGTGCGGCGGGAGCTGGCTGAAAACTTCTGCTACTACAATGAGAACTACGACAGTGTGCAGGGTAACATCCTGGGTCACGTGGGCCGTGCTGGGTACCCAGCTGCTCACTCCAACTTGGCAATCCCAGTTCTGCTAGGAGAAGGGCTGTGGGGGCACTAATGTCCTAGCATTTGGTCTCTTCTGGAGGTAGGACAGAAGCTGACGAGTGCCTTCTTCAAGACTGGTGCCTCCAGGGCACAGTGCCCTCAGTAGCCTGGATCTCAGGACCCTGCAGAACAGGTTGCTCAGTGTTGCTCCTCATCTCTTGCTCACAGGTGCCTATGACTGGGCACAAACCACCCTGAAGGTCCACGCCAAAGACAAGAGGCCTTATCTGTACAGTCTGCAGGAGCTGGAGCAGGGGACCACACACGACCCACTCTGGAATGCTGCCCAGGTACTGCCCTACATCTTCCCCACAAAATGCTGAGCTTTTTTCTGAGGCATGGAGGTGACCTACCATGGCCTGACCCTCATGGCTGTCTCTCCATCCCTGCAGCTGCAGATGGTCCGGGAGGGCAAGATGCACGGCTTCCTGCGGATGTACTGGGCCAAGAAGATCCTGGAGTGGACACACTCCCCTGAGGAGGCCCTGCAGTTTGCCATCTACCTCAATGACCGCTACGAGCTGGACGGGAGGGACCCCAATGGATACGTAGGCAAGCTGCAGGCTGGGGGCATGGGCTGGGAGGCCTTGGCTCTGGTGGCCAAGGCTGCAGTGGGGGCTCTCTGCAGGCAACTCCAGCCCATTCTGCTTTGCACTCAGATCCCCCTTGCTCCCTGTGTGCCCCTGAGCAAGGGGGAGAGCTGACGCTGGTGTCCCTGTGCCCGGCAGGCTGCCTGTGGTCCATCTGTGGCATTCACGACCAGGGCTGGGCGGAGCGGCCCATCTTCGGGAAGATTCGCTACATGAACTATGCCGGCTGCAAGCGCAAGTTCGATGTGGAGCAGTTCGAGCGTCGCTACGCCCCCACACACTCCCAGCTGTGAGACCCTCTGGGCTGGGCAGATGTGCCTTGGCCCAGCTGCCAGCTTGCAGGGATCACCCTGGGATATCGAAGGGCTCCCTGTAGCAGCAGCAAGCTCCAGGGTTTTGCAGGTCTTTGCCATCGCCCACTGCTCGAGTTGCCACACTGGGGCAGCTGCAGGAGCCCTTCTGCTGGCACAAGGTTGCTGGCACAAGGTTGCTGGCAGCTGTAAGAGCCTATCCTCGGCATGCCTATGCCTGCCAGAAACCTTTCTACCATCAAGGCCTTAGGAGTAGCCCAGGTCATCATCCCCGCTGGTAACCACAGCTGCAATTTGGGCTGAGCAGGGTGTTTCTAGGGAAAAGCCCTCAGGAAGAGACTCTTTGTGGAGCCAGTGCTGGGCTGTCATCTTTCAACAGTTGTTTTAAAGTTTACAGTTTTTATCACTTGTGTTGATGGTGTTTATGGGGAGATGCACAACACTGCTGTGAAGGGAGAGCTAGGTGGCCTGGAATGGGGATGCAAGCACAGACAGGGCAGCCAAGGCCAGGCCCCTGTGCCCCTCTGCCAGCAGCAAAGGCAGGCTCTAGAAGGGGACAGACATTACAGAGAGCCCCTCACTCAGTGACTTGTACCTCCTGTCCTGAGTCCAGGGGCAGGCCACAAACCAGATTAATTAGTCATGGGGTAGTGACAATAACCCCCTCCCAGTGACTGCATCACCAGCTACATGAGCTGTCCCTTCCATTGCTCAGCAGCACTCCCTGCCTGCCCCATCACCTCGAGGTGGGATACACACCATTACCCCACCTGAAACAACACAACCAGACTCCTTATTAACATCATTTATTAAGGACGGCATTTTAATTGCTGTGCTGTGCAATAACAATCCCGTTGTGAGGGCTGCAGTTGACGGCCAGGGCAGCCCCCAGCTCTCCCTCCCAGAGCTCCCTGTCGTGGCCAGTTCCAGTGTTAGTTGTAGCAGTCAGTGCTGGGCAGCAGTGTCAGTGCTGGGCACAGTCTTGTCCTGGAGACCTGTGCCAGGTTTGGGAGTCCTGCTGCTTCACACAGTCCATGGTGGAGGGTGGGAACCAGAACTAAGCCAGAATTCCTTCCCTCTTCTCAAAAAGTACTCAGTGCTTCTAGAAAGGGATCTGGGCAGCCTCTCAGCTGCTGTCCCATGACATTAAAGTGCTTAAAACAAAATAGGGTGGATGGAGATGTGCTGCTGAGGCAACTCCAGGGAAGGGGGTCCCAGATCCAAACAGCAGCAGGAGGGCTTGGCTTGGGGACAGGCAAGACCAAGGCAGACCAGCATCTGGCAGCCCCAGGGCTTGCAGAGACAGAGTGAGAAGAAGAGCAGCTGCTCTTCTGGGGAAAAAAAGCAGAAGCAAGACACAAGGCAGTAAAAACCCCAGGGGAGCAAGTGGGGAGCTGAACCCTGCTTTCAGGACTTGGTCAGGATGCTGCAGGCAGGAGAGAGATGCAGCAGCCCAGCCCTCAGCAGCAAGGCTGCAGCCACATCTCCTGGACCCAGCCTCTTCCCCTCTCCCCAACCCTGCCACTCCCTCAGGGAGAGCCCACAGGTCACATCCCAGCCTCAAATCAGGGCATGTGCTGAAAGAGCCACTGCCCCTTGAGGCCTCCTGCCAGTGCATTGCTCTCTGGTCCCTCAACACCCTCCTTGCACGTACACAGGCCACACCACCCTTCCTAAGACCCCACATCCCACCTGTGCTCAGGTGGTGCTGCACATGCTGTGGCTGAAGCATCCCCCCACGATGCAGAGGCACCTCCTCAGCTGGGCACAGAGCTCACCTTGTCCCGCTGGGTCTGACCCTGACCCCGCAGAGCTGTCACTTGTGCCAGGTGACACAAGTGCATCAGTGAGGAACCAGTCCTTGGCAGCACCCAGTGCCAAACCCCTCTCCCCTGGGTATCCCCATTGCAATCAGGCTGCCTGACCATCCCACCACAGCTCAGCTGGGAAGCTTCAAAGCTTTGCCTGGCTCAGGGACCCATCCTGCCCCAAGGGAAGCAGGAGATCCTGCTGGGAGAGGGGACCAGCTCCATCCAGGGGTGAGGAACCAGGAGCAGATAGCCCTGGAGATTTTATACTGCTGAGTCCCAAGCAGATCACATGCCCCCTAAGAAGGCATTTCAAGCAGCACCTCCTTGAGGGGAACACACAGTTAAAAATACAAACAACCATATTAAAAAATAAAAGTCCAGCAGATTAAAAAAAAAACCAACTAAACAGAGGATTGGGGATGCAGCTGGAGGGATGAGCCTTCACCTGCATCCTGACAGGTCAAAGGCAGAGAGGCAGCTCCACACAAGGCAGGTTCTGGTGTCACCAGAGTGAGGTCCCATGTCACCCTTAAAGGAGGACATATCTCCCTGGTAGGACAGACAGGCAGCGTGAGGAGGAAGTAGGGTCAGAAGCCTCACCATATCCCATGGAGGCAGATTTCTATGAAGCCATGGGGATCTGCCTGCCAAAAGTCCATCAGCACATCCATTTCTGCAGCTGCTCCAGGGGCAATGTCCCTCTGCAGCACAGGGAAATCTGGCATTTTCATCATTGCCACGTCCTCTGCTCTGATTCTGGAGCGAGAGCAACTGCTCTCCAGCAGTGTCCCACAGCACATTTGAGAAAGGGAGCTGTTAAATACACAACCAACCCCAAAACCCACCCTCCCTCCATGCACACAACCCCCAGCAGCAGAATGGAGGATCACAGGACTGAGACCCAATTTCCTCCTCCAAGGAGCAGATGTGACCAGAGCTTCCCAGTATACAGCTGATGAGCAGCAAGTGCTGACCCTTCAGGGCACCCTGCTCAGCTCAGAGCAGGGCACAGGGATGGACAGCACAGCCCTGCTGGGTCCAGCATGAACAACTGCTCAGAAAAGGTCCCTGTTCTGCCTGCAGGACAGGCAGGAGCAGCTGCCTCCAAGCAGCTTCCTTTGCCCAAGCAAAGGCATCAGGGAGTGGGAGCGGTACCTGGAGCAGATCCACATGGTGGAATATGCTCCTTTCCCAGCCCAGCAGTACTGGAAAAAGAAATCCCTTCAAGACAGTGCTCCAGGCCTCCCAGCAGTCCTCATCCCCAGTCCGTGTGGCTCAGTCTCTGGTGATGAAGGCCATGCACATAAACAAACCCATGATCTGCTCCTTGGCTGCAGCATGCTCATGTGGCTGGCCCTGGCTCTGGCTGCTGCAGCTCCCCCTCGCAGTCCGAGCTGTCGGGCTCCGGGCCCTGCCTGTCCAGCAGCTCCCTCCGGGCCTGCAGCCGCTCGCACCGGGGACAGCGGCCGCACTTGAAGCAGGACTTGTGGTAGCAGGCCTTGCACTCTGTGAGAGAGAGCATGGCTGAGTGCTGGTACAGGCTGCCTGACACTCCACACCCCGGGTCCCTCACTAGTTCATGAAGCTTTGGAAGCACAGGAGGGAGGATTTCTGCTCTGCAGAAGGTCCCTCCCCAAGCTTTCCTGATACTCCAAGGAAATAGTGACTTTCCCCCAAGTTTTCTCTGGCACTGCACCTGCCAGACCAAGGCTTGCATGTTGTCAGGAGCCATTTTATACCAGTTCAGAGGCTGGTCCCAAGATGTAGGGCCATGCTTTACTCAGCCATTAATACTGGGCATTATCGAGGATGTCCCCTGAAGGGGCCTAGGGACTTCTTATCAGGCAGGAAGGGCACAGAGATAAAGCCTTCAGGCTCTCTCTGCTCTGCAAGCTCAGCTCCAGCCATCCAAGCAGGGCAGGGGAGCTGTGTGCAGGCTGCAGCCTGTCCTGTAACTGCAGCAGGAGAGAAACCAGGGCTCCCACACACCCGCTCGCTGCAGCGACAGCCCAGCTGCCCACAGCTGCCAGGGCAGGCAGCACAGAGCGTGGTCAGGAGGGGACCTACATGCTTTACCATGCCACCAAACACTGTGACAATGATGATCTGCTGCTGTTGTAACATTGCAGACACAGGCCATGCACACTGGTCTGGCTGGCTACAGTTCTGTCCCCCTTGCTAGCACAAATGCCACTCAAACTGGAAGCAGACCTTGGTGGCCCCAGGGTCTGTCCCCTCCCTGTTTTTCCCCAGTATCTCACCTTCACATGTCCTGCACTTGTTGAGCTCAAAGGGGAAGATGATGTCGTCCTCATTCTGGCAGAACTCACAGATGAAGCCTTTGGCTTGGCACAGCTGGAGGAAAAAACAACGAGGAAAAAGCAGCTAAATGCTTATCTCCCTCCCTGGCAAGTAGGACAGAAGGTAGAGTAGAGCAGGACAGCAGGCCACAGTGCCCTCCTCTAACCATGTGGGACAGCCCTTCCCCAGCATGGAGCACAGGAAGGCTGAATCAACCTGTGTCAGGGGCAGGGGAGAGCTAAAACAGAGTAGCAAATATCCCATTTGTGCTGGGTAGGAGCTCTGTGAAGCAGAGTTAGCATTGAATCAGTTAATTTGGTGGCTGCTCTGCACACCAAAGCCTCCCCATCAGTTATCTTTGCAGCAAAGCCTGCTCCCAAGGCTGCTCCCAAGGGTCCAGAGACATGCAGGAGACAGGAGAGAAGGCCTTACCATGCACTTGTCAATGTGCAGGCTGCCTGCCTTCAGGAGCTCTGTCAGGCGAGGCATCAGGTCCCCTTTCTTGATGGCACTGAAGTCACTCAGCGAGTAGAGGTGCAAATCCTCTGTCAAGTGACCAGGCACTGTGTCAAAGGAGTCCAGGAGGCTGCAAGGACAGAGAAACCAGAGCTCAGAGCAAAGTGACTCCAGTAAGACCCCTCCCTTCTCTCCTTATGCTTTCTCTCCCCCTCCAGGCCCCCCTCTCCCCAGAGCTCAATGCACAAGCTGCAGATTCCCAGTGCAAATTGCCTGGGACAGAACCAGGACAGCAGAGTAGCCCAGCACTCACTCTTTAGCCAGCCGGCACGTCTTGAACATGTTCTTCATGTGGAAAAGCTGGATTCGCAGCAGCTGGAGAGGAAGGGGCACAAAGAATCAGGAAACAGAGCATGGTCCTTGCCCAAGCAGGTCTGCCCCATTCCCTGTGCTGCTGAAATAGCTGCTGCTCCTCAGCTGCTGCTCCCCTGTTTCCAAAGTGTTTACATCACACAGGGCAAGGTGAGCACAACCATCATCATCTGCTCCAGCAGATAAATTGAAGCCCAGCTGGATACCAGCCAGAAATTCCTATTTAATTTCCTATGAAATTGACATTCCTATGCCACTGAAGAAATCAGAAAAGGTGAATAGAAAGACACAGTGATGAGATTTTAAGCCTCCAAAACTGAAGTATCTGCTTCTCCCCAGCTTCCCTGAAATACAGCTTAGAGCTGGCTGCCATCCACCTCACCCAAACTCCACTCAGGAAGGCATGGAAAGGGTCTTACCCTCACTTGGTTGAGAGCCTTCACTTTCTGGTACAGGGCAGGATTGATAGCTTGCACGTTGAAGAGTGGGTCACTCCAGATCTTGCTCAGCAGGTCTTTGGAGAAGTTGCTCACGTAGTACTTGCTGAAGTCCCACTTGCGCAGGATGCGGCTGGGGATGACAGTCTGGGCATTCTCATGGCAGCACTGGCAGAAGTACTTGCCCAGGTACTCGCAGTACCGCAGCCGCTTGATGTAATCTGGCCAAACGCAGGCAGACAGGCAGGGTCAGCCCAGGCACGGCTCAGCATTTCCCATAAGCAAAGAAAGTGTGCCAGAGTGATCAGTACTGGGGTCTGCAAGCACCCTCTGACTGCAAAAGCCTTTGGGACCAATAGTCCAGTCTCGTGCAACCACATCTACCTACATATTCAGGGAAGAGCTCTGCAGCTGCAGAATTTGCTGGGAGCTTGAGGACCCAACATAAGTCTCTGCCTTACAAGAGTCAACATCTGAAATGCCCTCTGAAGGACAAACTGACTGCTCTTTGCCTCCACCAGCTCTGTGACCCCCTAGAAGAGAAGGCTCCTCTGTGGATGGTGCACACCAACGTTCAGGCAGAGCTGGCAAAGGCAATATAGCACTGTTCAGGGACCTTATGCTGTGCTCTACCATTACCAACTCACTCAGCATCTTCCCACTTGTTTGCAGTTCCCCACCACTCTCCAGCTCAGGTCAGGCTCCCAACACTCACCAGGATCAGTCCGGATGCCACAGCCCGCACACCGGTAATTCTGCTTGGCCACAGCCACCTTTCTCCTGCCAAGACACAGAAGAAAACATGCATGACCCAGCCCTGGTAGTACCTGGCACCAGAAGATGGGTACCAGCACAGGCCTGGGAGGTTTATGTGGACAACACACCCAAGGGAAAAAGCCCCACTATGTCCCAAAGGCACTAACCCCAGGCACTGCCTCCATCTCACCATCTCACAGTGGTGACCACCGTGAATTTACCAAGGTCAGAGCAGGGAAACCCCAGCAACCAGAGGATAAGCATCCTTGGTGTGAATGGGAAAGGGATGGAAAGGGCAGGTCCCCTGCGAGCCCCCAGCCACACGGGTCCTTACGCTGGGGCCAGGTGAACATTGAAGATGATCTGCGGCCGCGGCGGGGCCCACTCCAGGTTTCCGCGCACCCGAATCCTCAGCTTGTAGATGTCAGCGTGCTCTCCATCGTCGGGAGAGATAGGCAGAGAGTCAGGGATGGGCAGCAGCTGGGAGAGGCAGGCAAGAAGGTCAGATCCCTATCTTGAAGTGCAAAGGCAGTGTGCCTGGCTGGACAGCCAGAAACCTGCAACCGCAGCCCTCCGAAAAACTGCCAGGCACCAAGCGCCCCTCCACCTGCATTGGGGGCTGAAGAAGGGGACCTGGACACTGCTGTAGGAGGCTGCATCCATCTCCAAAGCCCAGATAAAACCCCTCCTCAAGCTCCACAAAGAGAGCACTGGGACAAGCAAAGCCCCCTCAGCAGTGCCCTGAAGCTGAGGGTTCAGGGAAGATCAAATGCAATCAGTGAGAGGAACTCACAGCCTTACCTTCTGTGGGGCGTCATGCTCAGGGACCAGCCACTCCAATTCAGAGGCAGCTGGGAGCTGCATGCCCTCAAACTGCTTCAGCAAGCCCATGGCCACCGCCTCTGCCGAGTTTGAATTGAGGAAGGAGTGGGATCTAGACAGCAAAGGAACTGTTAGTACTGGATCTCACAGCTGTGGCCTCCTTGCAGCCCCATGCCAGTCCCAGCTCAAGTCAAAGATCCTCCCCTCAACTCTGGTACCTTAATTCTGCACCACTTAAAGTTAATACACATGATTGATTTCTGTCTTTGAAAATGTGCCCAAGCAAAGCTGGCTAATGGCACCATAACAACTGTTCAGAAGAGCAAGCTCAAAACTCAATTCACTTGGCAAAACCTATGCCTGTTCACAGGGGAAGCTGCAAAGGGTCAGCCAGTGCCTGTGTAAGTCAGAAACAACTGCTCTCCCAGTATGAACTTACCCAAGCAGTTGCCAACCATGGACACAGCTTCGTATTTCACCACACAAAGCAAAGGGGTTCCCACAGAGAGAGGGAGAGGGGGAAGGAGGACAGGAGGGATATGTACTCCAGTGCAAAACAGAAACTGATGCACATGGAAGAGCAGAGCTGGGCAGGAAAGAGAACATGGTACCAAGATGTGTCACCATGAGGCTGAAGACGTACATGGAGTCCGAGGAGAGAAAGGACTTCCTGCTGGAGTCTGGGTTCCTCTTGATATCTGCATCTGAATCACAAACAGACAAGGTGGAACAGATGGGACAGGGCCAGGGATGCACTCACTTCAAACCAAAGCTTCAAGGTAAAACTCATCAAGCTGTTCAAAAGCACGAGAACTACAGCATCAACTTCTACCAGTGGCACTGAGCAGCAAGGAGGGGTGCAGTCTAATCAGCCAGCTGTCAGAACTACCAGGGAAAGGCATGGTGGGGTGCTGTGAACAGCCTGAAGTTTGGGGGAGACAAGTGGCTGCTGGTACAGGTCACACACACCAAGTCCTAGCAGTAACATGGCCTGAAATAGAACACACACAGAACACAGGAGCCTGGAGAGCAGGACTGCAGGGTTAGCAAGAAGGTTTAGTAGCTCTCTACACACAGTATAGATGCTGGAAGGGATTAGCAATGGGTTGCAGAGCCCTTCTCTCTATTTGACTGTAACCTGTAAGATCAGACATTGGCCATGGCACAGTTTGTCAGTGACTGCACAGCCAGGGCTGGCAGCCTGTGCCCAGCACTGCCCAGACACAGCAGCACCCCTGTAGAGAAAGGGCCAGCAGCCATGGGGCCAGCCCTCTGCACAGGTCACAGACTCCTCTACTGAGGAGGGAGGGGTCCAAGATAAGGTGCAGGACACTGCAGTCCTGCTCCCTACACCCCTCAATCAACTCCCAAAGAGCCCTGGGCTGCCCCACAGGTTGGGTACCAGGCAGTACCCAGTGGTACCTTCACCACTCATCATTCTTTTACTCCAGCAGGTTAAACCCTAACAGGGAATTCATCTCAACAGCAGAAAACCCCTATGTCAGGGCAATTCCAGTCATACAACACAGACAGAAGCAGGCAGAAACCTGCTTCATGGCAGATAAGGCTCCCAGGAAAGGGAAGAAGGTATCTAAGGGGAAAGTACTACAGGCCAAGGCCAAAGCCACAAGCTTCATCCCAGTAGGTGTGCTGTTTTGTACCTCTGGGGAGCTCTAGGAATGGCCTACAGTGACCACACTGCCCCCAGACAAAAGCCTGTAGCTTCCCCTGCCCCTGTGCCTGGCATGGGGAGGCACAGCTCAGGGTCCCTGCTCCTGTACCCCAAGCAGGCTGACTAACACAAACCTGCAGAGAGCCCACAGGATCCCAGCCAGGCCCCAGCTGCACACTGAGGACAAGGGAATCACAGCCTGAGCAAAGAGTGTCCCCTACCCCAAGCTTCTCTACAGAGAGCAGGACTGCCCTAGCAACAAAGGGAGCAAGTCCTGCTAATTTACAGACTCACACTACTGGAATTTAGCTTGGACATTTGACCTTCATTGTTTGACATCCAATGCTAAAACAGGCAAAGGAAAGCATCCTAATGTTAAGGAATCCACATATCTACATCATGCACACTGAATTCTAGCTGCAGAAAACAGGAAATTCAGGCAAACACCCTCACTACCTTGTAGGGCACCAGCCAGACACACCTGCCATGCTCTGGTGCCTTCTGCTCTGCACAGAAAGGTCCTGCATGGTCCTAGACTACAATGGAGCACATGGGGGCACACACAGCACAGAGTGGGCCAGGTGCTATGGGGAGGCAGAGCCAGCACACTCAGGCATTGACATGGTCTCAGAGATGGCAGAGGCAGCCAGATCTGACTCTAGGCTTTCAGGGGAACTAACACTGGGATCCTGACACCGCTCGCTTCCCAACATTAACTGCAAACACTTCCCAAATCCTCATTAGCTACCCAAAACACCTCTGCTGCCAATGCTATCAAGAGGGATAGTCCCCAGGAAGTTTGTGAACAGCCCCCAAATCTAAGGACATCATCCCACACCCATGTGCCAGCCTCAGCCAGGATCACAGCCTGGTCTGTGAACACAACAGGGCTGACAGGAAAGACCTGAGCACCAGCAAAACCAGCAGGACCAACATGCTGGTGCTGAACACCTGACAGTGGAGATCAGCAGCAGCCCAGGAGACTGTTCCCTTGCTAAAGCAAACAGGGAGCACATGAAGGTTATTTAAACACTGCCAGCAGACCAGACCTAGTACTACTGTAAACAATAAAAACACTAAGCTGCATGTGATCCCAGTGACCAAAACCTCCAGCATGAACAAACTGCCTGTGCCCTGTCTGACGTCACTACTTCTCCTCCAGAACTTCTTTCTAGAAGGATTCCACTCAAAGTCAAGTCTGAGCATGAAACTCAAGGAAGTCTTTGCTTCAGATCAAAGCTGTGGCAGGCCAGCTCTGCCAAGTCAAGCAGGATAATGCTCTCCAAGGCACTTGGGGTGGAGACCTGGTCCCCCATTGAAGAGGACTCTGCTCTCATTCAGCCCAGGTTCAACCTTCAACATCTACAGAGCTTCACTGTCCTGTGAAGTCCTACCCCAGGCAAGACATGTCTTCACACAGCAGGCATTTTGATATATCCAAAACACTGCATGGCAAAATGCCCTGGGGGATGGAGCCCACAGCAGAACTCCTCTGAGTCCACTCTACTCAATCCTCCACAGCTTTTCTTGCTGACATCTGGATGATACTGGAACTAATTCCCAGTTGTGAACCAGGCAGATTTGGAAGAAGTGTGCCCTGCACACACACACACACCTCGCACACACGCGCGCGTGCCAGGAGCACTGCAGGGTACCTGAGAACAAGGAAGCCATTGACACTGAGAGGCCGTTCTTGGACATTTGAATCAGGTTAGATCCATCGTTACCATCTGTATGACATGGTGATGACAAAACAGTTGACTTCAGTGCTTCAGCCAGGCCAGAGAGAAAGGGCATAAAACAAGAGCAGCACTCACACAAGGAGAGCTCAGAACTGAATTCACACACTCCCTGGGCTACAAAACTGAGCTCAAAAGCTCACCCTCATGGACTGAAAGGAGAGGGTGCTGTCAATAGTCAGGAGACAAGAAGTTTAAAGCTGAAGACTGGACAACTCCATCTTCTTTTTAAAGTAAGAGAGATGGAGGTACTGCTGAGAAGTAAGTCATCCACTTCAGAGGATGAACAAGGCTCTGAAGGCCAGGGACTTGGGCTGGTCTCCTCTGGGTGATAAGCACACCACCCAAGCTGCCAGGAGCAGAGATTACAGGTATTGCAGGTTGGGATGTGACCAATAGCCACCATCCCAGAGGTGAGTAGTCAGAGCTCCTTCTGCCTGGAGAGGAGAAGAGAGGATGGTAGCTCTCCCACCTCTCTAGCTGTGACCACAGTTATGTGTACCAGGAAATGAAATGGAAACCACCTACCAGCCAGAGGCACAGAATGTTACAGGGTTACAGAAGATTTTGAAGGAAAGTCATGCCACCACATGAGGGAAACTGATTGCTCTGCTTATACATTTGTTTGGGAAAAGCCATCCTGAAGGCCAGAGGGACAGAGTCTTCTTCAGCAGGACTGACCCCAACACAACCACACCAGGAAGTCTGTTTCTATGAAAGAAGCCAAGACAGCCATTCCCTCCTACCTCGGATCTCATACTCTTCCACATCCTCGGCAGAGCCAGAGTCAGAGAGCCGCATGGAGCCGTGGGAGCTGAACTGGGACCCACTGTCTGTTGCCACGAGACCTGCAAGGAAGGCAGCACAGCCAGGTCACCAGTGGAAGTGCTCCAAAGGGGCACTGACAGCTGTGGGAGATGGGGATAGCCAGGTATGGCCAGGAAAGGAGGGATGGAGCTCAAAGATGGAAAACACTACAGGTTCAGAATGAAATGACATTCCATTACTCAGTGCCAGCAGTGTTATCAATGGATGGTATCTGTCACATTATGGTCTTCAATAGCAGCAGTTTCACACATCTTGGCACCACCTTGGTAGCAACTGAACTGTTTCCAAGGAACAGGCAGGAAGGCAGGCAGCTATAGGATAGGCAATGGACAGAAAACCCACATCCCACTAGCTGATGAGCCCAAAACACATCACCCACTGTCTGAGCCCAGCTCCTGGCAGGCAGGGAACAGGTGCCTGGTGCGGATCTGCTGGCGCCGAATGCGAATCTTTTGTTTAAGCTCCTGGATCTCCTTGTCACTGTCTTCCTCCTCCTCCTCCAGCTGCCGGCTCATCATGTTGCATTTCATCAGCTCAATGGCAGCGATCAGGGACTCTGAGATGCTGAAGTGGGCGTTCTCCTGCAAGAGCAAAAGCATTCAAGGCTATGCCTTGGACAAACTAGGAAGACTTGGTAAAATTTTGCTCCCCACCTATGCCAGGAGAGAGGTTATTACTCATGGATGGTGGCAGAAAGATGTTAATCCTTGTCAAAATATGACTCTTCTATCAGTACCTAGAAAACAAGGCCTTCTTGGGCATCAGAATACTCACAAAATACAAGAGGCATCCTACAAAGAGAATGTGCAACACATCCTCTCTGGGGGGTCAGCACACAGCCCTGAGGGGCCCTAACATGTTGCAAAGCTGCCATGTATATGACAGATGGACAGATCCCAGCTACCAGACACTACCAAGGAGCTCAGCCTTGCAGTTCTGTGCACAGCTTTACAACAGGCAATACCATGGCATTATCCTCCCCATGGCAGGAAGCATCCCTGAACCTGCAGTAAGATACATTCCCCGAAGCACACAGGCTGCTGCTGCTTCCCTCACCTTCTCCAGGTCTGCACAGCTGCCGAAGTCCTGCTCAGAGAGGTAGCTGATGAGGGACTGCCCTTCAGAAGGTCTCCTGAACATCCCTTCCCCTGAGCTCAGGTACTGCCCAGAGTCTAGAAATGCAAGAGACACAGGTATGAGGGAAGAATCTGCTTTCTCCGTGCCACCAAGTCCTGCCAGCACCCTGCCAGCATCCCACAAGCAGGTGCCAGCACTTGAGGACACTGCAGCCCATGGAGGAAGCTGACCAGGACTGAGTGTCCCCACTGGGGCTGGCTGTACTCACCATACTCCATGTAGAGGGAGCTGGGTGTGCTCAGTTCACTGCTCTGCGTGGAAGCAGAGACCGGCCCTCTCCCTCCACCTGGATCACCATGGGACTCTGGAAGGGAAGATGACACCAGGCACACGTCAGTACCTCAGAGGTGCCCTGCCACTGCACAGGGTGAAATGAAAGGGGCTTGGCATCACACACACAGGCACAATGGGTGGAAATAGAGACATCTTCCTGCTCCATGCCACAGCTGAGGGCAAGCCCAGGAGGAGACAAAACTAGAAAGGCATTTCAGGCAGGAAAAGGGGAATGAAGGAGAGAAGATCATGAGAGACATGGAACAGTCACATCCTGAGCCTTCCTCTGTCTACCCCAGAGTTGAGTTGGGGACACAACAGGCTCCAGCAAGTACCTCTTGACAGCCCTTTCTTCCTGAGGGAGCATTCTGAGGGCAGAGTTATCCCCCAGAATAGAGAACAGGAGGCACAGGGAAACATGAGCCACCAAAGGATCTGTGAGGGTCCCTGCAGGGGTCCCTGCACACCGGTGTAAGGAGGCATCTGAAGGACATGCTCCTGCTCCACTGCAAGCCAGCCTCCCCACACACAGCGCTGGAGCCTGGCTGCAGTGCTCAAGGTGACCTCCACGGGCCGCGGGCAGGGCTCTGCCCCTCGCACGCACCGTGGTGCAACTCCTGCCAGACTGAGCCAGTGGAGACCGCCAGGAGCTGGCCTGACCACAGACCAAGAACAGGTGGTGCTCTACAGAGAGCCATGGCCCCAGGGAGCACCTGGACAGAGTGCCTGGGTGACAGAGGACTGCTGAAGGAGACTGAAAACACCTTGCCTGAGTGGGAGGAGCATACAGCTCTGGATACAGGGCAGGTGCCAGCTGACGATCCTGAGCACAGCAGAAGGGCAACCATGTCCTTTCAACCTCCCACTCATGTTTGTTCCCAGCTTTGTGCCATAACTGATATGGCTGGAGGCCTCTGAGCCCCCCAATACCAGCCTCTCCCTGTCAAGACCATGAAGCAGCAGTCACCAGGATGGGAGACAAGAGACTTGTCAGGGTAGGAGGCTCTCACAGCTACTCACTGCAGCCTGAGAGGGTGCCCTGCAGCCACCTCAACACAGAAACCACCTAGGGGGTTGATGCCTGGGGATGCCACATACCACAGAGCCTACTGCTGAAAGGTTAAGTGAGGCAGTGCTCAGCATCATCTCTTGGAGCAGGACACAGGGCTGGACCCATCTCTCTGAACACTCATCAGCCCCAGGGAGGAGCCTTCCCAGACACAGAACCCTCAGCACCCAGATGTGAGCTCGACAAACCCAGTGCCACTGTTCACTAGATGCAAAACAAAACAGCCCATTCTGTTGCTGAGCTGCTGACTTTTTCTGCACATGGGCCAAAGGGATGGCAGCATCCCAGCATTTCTGCTTGGGGTAAAACCTGCCCTGAGCCCAAAAGATCATCCAGAGTCTCAGCTGTGGGTACATACACTGGAAATCAGTCAACATCAAACCTCCCTTTGTCACAGATCCATGAAATAAAAGGAGAAATTAGATGTCCAAGCCCATGTTTGGTTAGCTGCCAGCCCTTATTCACTAGGTAAGAGAGGAAACCTCTCCTGGCTTCTGAGGCAGTGGGTGGAGGGAAGGGCAGGGGATGCAGCTCAGAGACTTGGTGGCCAGCACTCCTAATGCCATGCAGGGGAGCTGGAAACACTTCTGGGTCTGGGCCACTGCTTCCACAAACCAAGCTGGGATCTTCAGTCAGGCCACATGCATAAACCAGACCACATTTCAAAGCATCAGCTGGGACACAACAAAGAAAGATTTTTTTTTTTGGTTTTCTAAATGAACACTAATGGATTGATGGCAATCCTGAACTTGATGCAATGATCACTAATGAAGGGCTGTTATACTGGCTCCCAAACCTGCCACTGGATCTTCTATTATAATGGTGATATCCCTGAGGCCTCCTGGGCAGACAGAGGAGGAGAAGGGCAGCGTTAAGGGAGAGAAAACAGAGACAGACTGGTTACTACTCAGCAAGGTCCTCCACTCCTCCAATGAAGGCAGCATCAGGACAAACTCTCACTAACTGGTTGTCCCCTCACACCCCAGTCTCTCCATCCCCATGTACTCACTCAAGACCACAGGAGAACCCCGCAGGTTACCAGTGGGATGACATTCTACCAGTAGGATGAGCCCAGGTCCGAGTCCCATATCCCAGCCAAGCAAGCCCAGTAAAGAACAGCTGATGCCACAGCACTGCTGCCATTTTCTAAGATTTTAGTAAAAGCTGGCAACACCACTAACAGTTCCAGCCCAGGGCATTCTGGGAAGCAAGATGTCATCCCATCATTCCAGTGTAGAGCTGAAAAGCTAAGGGAAAAGACCAACCACTTGCCCACTGTCCCTGTCTCCAACGTGATCCATGGAATCAAGGGGGTGGCCAGCACCAGCTTTCTGGTACCAGGGACTCCCACGCCCAGAAGCCATCCCAGAAAAGCTGTCCCATTACCATGCAACTTCCCAGAAGTCACGTTGGTGTCAGAGTGTGAGCGCATGTGGCTCTTCTTGAGGATGCCCTGTGGAGCTGAGGACTGTCCCTCTGAGAAGCTGGACCGGCGCAAGAGGCTCAGGCCCCTGCTGCCACCTCCGCTTGCCCCCTGCTCCCCCAGGGATGAGACTGAGTCCAGCTTCTGGGAGCTGCTGGAGGAGAAGAGTTTAGAGCTGCTGCTCTTGGTGCTGCTGGTGCTGGTGCTGCTGCACGCCCGGCCCCGGCGGCCCAGGTTCCCAATGGCCAGGTACTCTGGCCCGTCATTGGCATCACTCTGTGGATCATCCTGGCTCCCTGTCCAAGTATCCTCGCTCTGGCTGGTGGTGCTGGAGCTCATCTCGCTGGCTGGAGAGAAGGGGTCTTTGGGTGAGGAGACGTGGAAGCGGGTGACAGAGCTGGGCTGCTCCAGAGGGGACCTGCCCTCGCTGAAGGAGGAGGACCGGGTGGACGGGCAGCGCTCCTGGGGCTGGCTGGAGGTGGAGCTGCCACAGGAACTCACTGGTCTCCTGTCTGGACAGAGGCAGGAGAATGATTTCACACACTGGCACAAGGATGTCCCCTATATCCTATGGCTATAAGCTTGTGGCTTTACACCAACACGTCCGCCCCACCACAGGCAAATCCCTCCCTCCCATCATGGGCAGAAGTCTTCCATACCCATCCACCCCAACAGATACATAGGCAGATAAAAAGATAAAGTCTTTTCTGGGTCTACCCTGAGCTCCCCAGCCTACCCTTGATACCTGAGAGGCCAGAGGAGGCTGGATTCTGGAGGCTGGAGAAGGACCCAAAGCAGCGCTGCTGAGTGCAGGGGGCAGCAGGGACGCACGGGGATGCAGGAAGGGCAGTCAGGCTCTGACTCTTGGTCACTGGAGATGGATTGTCACTCTTCCTGGTAAGCTGAAGAGAGGTGGCATCATCAATAAATCAGCATCTATTGGCCTACATGTAGCAGCAACAGAAAGGGATCAACCTGCAAATGCCAGATCACCAACCACAAACGATGCGGCGACCCTGGGAGCACGAGGGTGGGGAGGGAAAAACACGGCAGCACAGAAGGGAAGCAGCTCTTTGTTCACAGCTGCAGGACAGATTCCCACTGGGAAATTACCAGGCTCTCAGTGAAATGATCCAGGCAGCCCAGCGCTCCTGGCAGACGGCTCTGGTGTCCCTCAGCACTGTGCTCACACATGTCTCTTGTCCCAGCAGAAGGCTCTGACGCGCACAGGGATGGCAGTGACGTGCCGGCCAGCTGAAAGAACACAGCCCCCATTTAACAAAGCCCCACTAATTGCTCTCTTTTGGGGACTCTGTGCAAAGAAGGCAGCTGCTGTTTCTGTCCTCTGGAGAGGGGCAGCTGGTGCAGGGCTGCACAGGGGGTCACTGGCTTGAGCAGGAGTTGGCACTAAGCCCCACTAATTGCTCTCTTTTGGGGACTCTGTGCAAAGAAGGCAGCTGCTGTTTCTGTCCTCTGGAGAGGGGCAGCTGGTGCAGGGCTGCACAGGGGGTCACTGGCTTGAGCAGGAGTTGGCACCCAGGTGTCCTGGGGTGTTGCCCATCCCCTCAAAAGCATGACTGTCCGTCATGACCAGGCAGCTCTGCATGCTGGCCCTGAAGCCTGGGACTATTGGAGAGGGCTTTAAAGGTGCCTCTTACAAGGAACTGGTCCTCAGATCCTCTACTCAAATCCTTGGTGCAAGCCTGGACCAAGGTGCTCCACTACAGGCTCCACACAGCCATTTCCCGCACACTGACCCCTTACAGGTCACACAGGCAGGACAAGGACCAGTTCCCCACTCTCTTCCCCTCTTGGAGCAACTTTTACTAGCTCCAAGTCCAGCTCCTCGACCAAGGGCTCCACATACCCTGAATGTGACCTTGAGGGAGCAGCCACAGCCAGTTGGCATCTGGGGAGAGCCAGATGTAAAATCTGGGACCTCAACTCACCATGGAGGTGTCGATCTGAGCCAGAAGCCTGGGGTTGTTCTGCTCAACAGCTTCCAGGCACTGCAGCATGGCCGTGACGTGGGCGTCACTGAGCAGGAAGGCAGTATCTGGGGAGAAAAAAATGCTGCTCAGGGGAGTCCCTCTCACCCACACAGTTTGACACACCAGTTGCTCACATGCAAATCAATTTTTCTGCTGTCCTCCCTCACTCCCACACAGCTTAGAAATGCCACCAGCTAGATATTTTCCTAGTAAGAAGGAAAAGGCCCATTGCTCCTTACCTGTGTAGAACTTCCTAATGTACTGCCGGTTCCCCAGGAGGGGCCTCAGCTGAGCTGACAGGCAGTGGCACTGCAGGCTGTGCTGCAGCCACAGCTGGGCAATGGCCTGGTCCCCTGGGCCCTCAGGGTCACGCTGGCCGCTCTCCTGCAGGCTGATGAACTGGAAAGGGACGTCAGGCACAGGTTAAGGCAGGCAGAGGCAAGAAGGGGAACAGGGCTTGTTCCACCGCATGGCTTTGGTCCCCTTGATAACAGCAGCTTTCACATGCCAGTTGCTGTCAGCAGGAAAGAGGGCATGTCCCAGCAGCTCCTCAGCCACCAGGGAGACAAAAGCACCAGGCAGGAACAATGCTTCAAAGGTCAGCCAGTGACCAAAGTCCTCTGACAGCCACCAGCACAATGAATTTCTCTTGCACACTCTCCCACCCATGAGCCTTGTCCCCGATTTGGAGCAATGCCACGCTCCCAAATCCAACCTGACCCCGGTGGTGACGGTCATTTTCCTGCTGTGACGTTAACTGGAAAAGGCTGTGGCAATGCCTGAGCGGCTGCAGCTTGCAGAGCTGGACTGGAGTTACACCCCTGTTCCCCCAGCAGCAGGCTGGCCATTGCTGTTCCCTGTGTCCAAAAGGGGCTGGCACAAATGGCCAGACCTTGGTGCCCATCCATGGCAGGAACCATGGATGTCAGCACAGGGCAGCTGAGGACCAGGAGCCATATGCCAGTGGCTGGCACAAGTCAGGAATGGGAGAATAAATGCATGGGGAAGCCAAAACCCAGAAATGGGACAGCCCAGACCCTCAGAGATCTGCACAGACACATGAATTACCCCTGTGCACACACAAGCACTGCTTGTGCCAGTTCCCTTGGTGATGCCTGCTGCACCCAGCCCAGCAGCACTGGAGACTGGCCTGGGAGAAATAAGCAGCCAATTGTCTCAGCCCAAGCCACACTGAGTTCCCAGGACACAGCCTGTACCCAAAAACATGGCTGTGTCAGCCTCCACAAGCCATGGAGCAGCTTTACCCACAACAGCCCAGGCAGCACTGTCCCACGGGTGAGGCTCCAGCCCAGCTGCCCTGTCCCCTCCCAGTGGGCACACAAGGGCACCCCCCCAGAACCCACCTTCTCCAGGTGATGAGCAGAGCCCGGACTCAGCCAGCGAATGTCCTTCACAAAGTGCCAGTAATCCTTCTGTCTGCAGCACACCTGCCCAGGACAGGCACAGTCAGGTGCCACCTCCCAAGTGCCACTTCAATGAGCACATCCCCGTTAGCCCCTTGCTGCCATGAGAGGCCATGCTGTTTGCCTCAGCTTTATTCAGACAATGAAGGGTTTTCTTAGTTATTCTTCCCCTTAGAGAGGAACTGCAACAGAGTTTCTGTTTTCCTCTCCACCCTATTGGCTGTAAGCACAGACCCAAAAAGTGTCTCTTCACCAAAAAGCTAATTATTTTTACTTCCATCCCTATTTCCTCTTTCACAAGTGACAGAGGAATGGCTTCTGTTTTGGTGGTTTATTTGGTTTGGTGGGGGAGTAGTTTGTTTTATAAGACTAAAAAACTAACATGGCAATTTTAGTTTTCTAGACTGAATTTGGTTTTCTGGACAAACAAATTAATTAAAATTAATTCAGAAGTTTAAAAACCTCTTACTCTAGTTTTCTTAATGTGTACATATGGATTTTTTCACCTTTCTTTTTCAATTCCCAACTGTAGGCAAAAAGCTTGCCAAGAAAATAAAAAGTAAACGGAAATGTTTTGCTGGAGCAACTCTGAGCCAACTGCTGTTAGGAAGATGGATTTTTATGGGCCTCCTTTTGGAACTCCTATAGCTTGACTGGTGTCACTCATGCCTGATCAGAGGAGACATTCCTGAGTGGAAGAGCTGTCTTTGCCTACAGTAAAAGCACTGAGTAGGTAACACACCATCCTGCTTTGCATGTCTGGCATGAACTGCTACCAACAGACAGACCAGCATAAATCATTTAAACCTCACTTCCTGAAGCCTGTGAATAGCAGGTCTGTCAGAAGGGAGCACTGCACTCCTCACATGGACAAGGCAGCTCCTCTCTCTGTCCATCTCCCAGGGCAGGTCCCTGGTCCATGCAGCTGGGGACTACCAGGAACAGAGCAGCACCTCAACTAATGCTGTCTGCAAACTTAACAAATCCAGAGAGCAAAGCTCCCTGCTCAGACAACCTGCCAGTCTGGCTCTTCCTGGAGGTTTTTTAGCTTGGGAGCAGCACTGCAAAGGTGCAGTTTTCCTGATCTGGGACCCAGCTGGCCCATGCAAGCTGCCTGGAGCTCCTCTGTGCTGTTCTCTTCTCTCTGGATGGCAAAGCCACTGATGGGATGCCTGTCCCCAGGCAAGCCCTACAGCCTTGTCCAGCCTTCCACTGGAAATAAATTGTGCTGGTAATTGCAAGCTGAAGGGGAGATCTTTAAGCACACAAGTGGGAAAGAGAAATTCTTCCAGGCAGCCATGGAAGGGGGAAGGCTGGGTGAGCAACTGCAGGCACAACAAGAGCCTGGAAAGAGTGATCCCATTCACGCAGAGCGCGGGGCTGGCTGCCAGCTCCTGTTACTAACACAGCTAAGCAGAAACAGTGAAGATGCGAGGTCTCCCTTGCCAGCCCTCGCTGGGGACTTGTCCAAGTGCAGATGATACGGGGCTGACTCACTGCAAATGCAATTTAATCACTTGGCTGCAGCAGAAAGAAAGGACAGAGGGGCTGGCCTCAGCACAGGGGGCACAAGTACTTAGAAAAACCATATTGAAAGTAGATGAGAGAGAAAGAACGTGTACACAGGTCCCTCTGACAACCACAGCATTTACCAGGCAAGCTCAGACCCTGCTTGGATCACTTCCCAGCCTGTTACAAGTGCTGGCCCCACTCTGCTATGAGCACAGAAGTGAGCTGCAGCACCTGCTTGTGACAGGCTCTGAGGCTGTGACAGACAGACAAACAGTCATGCTGGCAGGACAGAGCCATACCTTGTCATGGATGAGCCCATGGTAGAGGATGCTGTGCATGTCTCTGCAGAGCCGTTCCAAGCCACCATACTTGGACCAGACATTTGGGTTGCTGATGGACACCAAACCTTCCACTGTGGTCTTCAAGTTGCCAAGGAGCTTCCAGTGCTCTTTCCTGCATAGGAATACAGCAAGATCCATCAGAGCTACAGCAAGAGGAACTTCACAACAGGAACGTGATATTGCACTCTCTCAAAGGAAACTCTGCTCAGGCTGAAACCTTTGGTGTTCCAGAAACCAGCAAAGGTGAGCTGAAGCACTTGATGCATCCCTGTGGTCTCCCACACATGGTTTGTGGACAACAGGCCATATTGTAATGATTCTTCTGATGAGTGGTAGCCACCACCAGGAGATAGACAGAACAAACTGATGGCTTCTGCAATGCACCACATGCTCAGTCTGGGCCAAAAAAACCTGGGGATTAACTTTCTAGCAGGCTGTTGCTCCACTGACATGTTCTCCCTAAGAGAGCAGCAGCCCCCCAGGAGCACAGCAGCTGTATGGAAGGGTGTGAGGGCCACCACATCAAGCAGACCCTGTGTTTGCAGAGCAGCACTCCCTGAGCAATGCCCATCACACTGAGAGCTCCAGTCCTGTCAGGATGCAGAGGTGCTCCTCTCCCAGGGAGGTGACACTTCATCTGCATCTCCAGCTGTACAGCTGCTCTCTTGGCCCCGACCTGCTGTAGGCACAACCTACAAAAACATTATCACCTCATGGACAGAGATTAGCAAACTGCTGGTGAGCTCTAGACTATGCACAACAGCTCATCAGTATCATCCCCCTTGGCTGCCCTGCATACAGCAAGAAATCACCATTATCTACCACAAAGCAGGAGCAATGGTGTAGAGAGGTAACATCATTTGACTATGGAAAAGCAGCTTTGGGGAAGGAAGCTTTGGGTGACTGAGATTCCCACTCAAGCTGCTTGACAATGTTGCCAGATGAACAGCAGCTGTCAAAAACACATATTCAAATAGGAGCCACTCTCAGAAGAACAGGAATGTTGCAAGGTACAGTTAGGAGTGTAAATAACCAAAACAAAAAAAGTCACTGCAAGGTTTGTACAAAAGCACCCTAAATGACACCTTAGCATGAAAGTTCAAGTTTTCAATGGGCAAGAAACAAGATGGTGTTTCAGAAGTTAGTCCTTCCCACAGCCAAAACTGAACTGGATTTCCAAAACACAAAGGGAAAAAGAAGGAAAACAAATAAATAACATTATTTAAAACTGCTCTCATTTCCATCTCTTGGGGATCAAAGTGTGGGCTGCATACTCCTGGTAATTAAAACAAAGCTTTTCTCACCAATATTCTCTTTTTGAGACTTGTTCACTACTGCCAAACTCAAACTGATTAGTTGAACAAGCAGATTAATTAATCATTAACTATTGGCTCTACCTCAAGCTGCCCATTTACTTCACTTCCTCATGAGGGAAACATCACCACTTCCAGTGCCTACCTAAGCTTAAACCACACAGAAGCCAACCCATCCCAGCAGCAAAGCCTGTCACCCTGACAGCACCACAGCCCTGAGGCAGACCTGCAGCACACCTGGCAGCATGTGTCTGTTCATGTTGTACTTAAACTAACAGGCATGGGGCTTTATCTCAGAAGAGACTGAAGAAAAATGCACAGATGTAAATCAAAGGCAGCTTCCTGAAGGAGATACAGCTTGGGAAGACACCAAAATTGATCCAGCTCTGCTGAATTTATGGGCTTTTCCCAACCCTGCCCTGAGCAATGCAGATGTTCTTTGGCTGTGGATGCCCAGAGAGGAATCAGCAGTCCCTGGTCAAAGAGCACCTGCAGCCACTGAGCTCAGAACACCAGCACCTCCTCCCTAAGGTATTTCTAACACTCAGAGTTAGGAAATGCAAGTGAAAGCTCAGCCACGCCACTGATATTGCAGTCAGTGAGTCAGGGGAACTCCCTCCCATGTTATTTCAGGCTATAAAAAGCAGGTGATGCACACAAGGATGTGAGGGTAGCACATGCAGGGATGTGCCTTTCCAAATGGCTGGTCTCATTAAAGGACTTGTGCATCTCAAGAGGTGGAAACCAGGATCCATGGCTCTTTCCTAGCATGGGGAAACTAAGGGTAAGCAATCCTTGAACAAAATAATCTCAGAATGTTAAAACATTCAACACAGAAGCACATACAGAATAGGCCACATAATTAAAGCACCTTTTCAGAGGTGATCTTGAATCCACCAAAAGTGAATTAAATCCTGGTAGGACAGTAAGTATCCTATGGGACTTGTTGGCCCAAAGCAGTTCACAAGTTGGACACACAAGACCTTTCTGATACCCGAACCCCAGCTATTTCTGGGCTGGAACACTGAAAAGCACACAGAGACACAAGGCTAAAGACATGAGGACCCATATAGTTGGCTGCAGGTGGCAGGGAAATTGAGAGAGCACAGCTAACCACATTTCAGCTTTGACTGGACTGTGGGGCAACCCTGAATTAGCAGCAGGGTTTCTCCCCTCCCACTGACAGAGCCTTGGTTTCAGATACCAGGAGGGATGGAGAAAGCCCAAGTTCCCTTTTCTGTTGGTGTTCAGAGCATTACTAAGAAATCTGCTTTTTTTCCTGAATAAGGAAGATTCCCCTTTGCTAGTGCTATAGAAAGCCTAGCATGGGGTAAAACAAATTCATATTACATCATGAGAACAACTTAATTTACAATAAGGGCAAAGTGAGTAATACCCCAGAGGGTCACAGAACAAGCCCAGAGCTTTCCCTGCAAGAACCACACATGCTTCTGCTCTCCTGATCCAGCAGAGCTTGGTTCCCCCAGCCAGAAGGGCCAAGGGTACTTGCAGGGGCCATGGAGCAGCAGTGAGATCTCAGCTGCATCCCTCTCCTCCTTAAAGACAACCTCTGATCCAGCCTCCAATTTCAACCACCAGCTCCACAAACTTGGCCCTAAGTCTCCTTTCTTTACCACAACAAACTCCAAGTACAGCAACATCAACCTGTCAGTGGGAACTGTCCCAAACATAACTGAACCTTTTGCACTGGAGTGATAAAACACAGAATACAGAATATAAATAAACACAGAATATTTTTTGCGAGCCTTGTAGCAAAAAATGGCTTAATGCTGCCACTGCTGACAACAGGGAATGCTGCTTGCTCTTCCAAGGCTTCCTCAGCCCCTCCACATCAGCAAGGGTAGGAACTTCTCTTGGTCCAAGTCATCAAACATGACTCACAGCAGAGGCAGGGAGCCATGCTGCTGACTTCTTAGTTTAAAATAAAACCAAACCTTGATTACTTTCCAAAACAGAATCACACAGGTAGCCAGTGGTCAAAACTGAAAAATAAAAATGAAGCTCATCTTTCTCGCAACCATCACCTGTGTATCTCCTGTGCTCTGCAGGAGGCACCCAGCAATGCCTGCTTGAATCCTGACCTCCACCTGGAAGACTCTTGATCCTTCTTAGCACACTAAAGAGGTTGGGCTAAGGATGCTGAGGTTATGGAGGGACTTCCGACAAATGCCCAAGGACACTCATTCCCGTGCTGGCTGTCAGTTCCCTCCTGCAGAAACCAAGACTCCACTAGGCTGCCCTGCGCAGAGCCTGCTCCGCCTCGCTGTCCCCAGATCTCCCAGACAACCAGCAGCCCCTTCCCTGGACTCCCCCGCCCGCTCCTCCGGGCTCGGCGCTGCTGGGAAAAGGGATTAAAGGAAGCCAGGCTTCGTGCAATTCATCTGCAGTCGCGGGGAGTGGCTGACAGGCAGAGGAAGCCAGAAGAGCTCTGCCAGCCCAGCAGGGATGGGCAGGAATCGCTGAGCGGGCTGCCTGGCAAAGGGACACACAGGGGAACTCGCATCCATGCTGAAAGCTGGCACTGATGGAAAACGGGGGCACAACCACAAAGGGTGCCCCCAGCAAACACAGCCCTGAGGAGCTGCTTGCTGACGCATTCCTGCTCTGCACTGGCAAAGGATGAGGGAAGAAAATAGGGATTAAAGGTGTTTTTTAACCTTCCCATGGCAGCTTTACCTGCTCATCTGGCTAAGTCTCTTACAAGCAGATGACCACAACCTGTGGACACAGGATACTGTCCATTGGGCTTCAATCTGCACAGGACCTGCCTGTGACGAGCATGCAGGCAGCCAGAGGCAGTGACAGGCAGAGCAGATCCCCAGAGCAGCTCACCTCCCTAAGAGCAGCTGCTCACATCCCTCCACTGCTCACAGCACAGGTTCCCTTCAGGAACCCTCTCCTCTGGCCCTGCTGTCCCTGAGGGTCTTGCTGGTGCCAGAGACAAAGGTGTCAGCTCTTTGCTAACCTGCCCAGCTGACCACTGGCCCATCTGCTCCCCCTGGGACTGCTGTGTCCTCTGCACCACCCAAGAGCCCTGCTCTCTGCCCAGCAGGACAGCACTAACCCTCCTGCCTCCAAGGACAATGTCCTCCCTGGACACCAGCATTATAGCCCTGCCACTTGATGCATTTCAGACCTGCTGCTAGGAGGAAAAATCCAGCACAAGATCCTCATTGTCCTCTCCTGTGCTGGCTCAAGGATGGACTTCAGCAAAATAACTTTCACTTCTGCATTTTCTGTAATGCACAAGAAGATGGATCCAGTGATTCCCTATCGATAACAGTCACAATCCAGTATGAAATGGCACCTCACTGGGAATAAAAATGCTAACCACATCACACAAAGGACAAGGCAGTGTAAGGCCCATGCTGGATCCTCCCCAAGGCATCAGTGCCAGCCAGGAGAACAAGCAGGCTCCTGCCTGTGCCAGCACCAGCGGGGGATGATGCTCTCCTTGTCCCTGGGGGAGTGCTGGGGGTGGCACCACCCCAGCCCTATTAGTCACACGATGGCAGAGTCTGGTAGTGCAGGACTTGTGCTTGCAAAGGCAAGAAAATGCACAAAGATGAGCCTGGAAAGACAAAGCAGTGAATGCAGTCAGTTTCTTTTACCTTTTGAACCTGCTGAGTTTGAAGCATTAGTAAAGAGGGAGAACAGCTCAAACTGTGCAGATCAGAAGGCACCCCAAACCTGTGCTATAGCTTTAAAAGCACCGGTAGCATTTTCCAGCTGATATGGCAAGCAGGAATAGAGCGACTGGCTGAGCCCCACAGATAAGGAATGCTTCTCTCTCATATCAAGTTTCAGCTGCTCCTTCCTCCCCAGCCAACACCTCCAATTTCCATCCAACATTCACCCTGTGCTTGTGAGTGCCAGGGCAAAACCAATGCACCTGTAAAAATGTGAAGTAAATAGGACTCGCCATCAAAACACCTCCAGGGAACAGCCTCTTCTGCTCATAAATGCTAACAAAAAAACCAGGCCTGAACCACATATGAGACTACACAGCTGAGGTCACTGTGCTCACCACCAGCCATGTGCAGGCGCAGGAATAAAGAGATAAATAAAGGAATAAAGAGATAAATAAAGGAATTTCTGTTCAGCACCAAGAAGAGGGGATGCAGCCAGGAAGGACAGGAGCTAGGATCCCCAGGCAGCGAGCTGCAGAGCCACCTGAAGGGTGGCAGCACGGCGTTAGGGTGGGGTGGTTTCACCCTTAAGCTCAAGGGTGTGAAGCAGAGACTTGGCAGCTGCTGTGCTGGCCACGGCTGACGAGGGACAGAGTGGGGACAGAGCACCGGTACTGAGGTGCCACATCCGCGGCCATCACCGCCCCTCCAGTGGCCAAGACTCCTTCCCACGGCAGTGAGCGGAGATGTGCGGCCGCAGGTGGGTGACAGCTCTGACAGCCCGGCCCGCTGTGCGCTCCCTCCCACGAGGCACCGAGCCGGGGGCAGTGTCACGCTCTGCAAGCAGCGATCCCACTCACGAAAGGTTTATTCATCGCCTGCTCGCCCCCAGGTACCCCCACACACCCACGCAGGACGCGAGGTCTCCAGGAGCATCCCCCGCGCATCCATCCCTACTGCTGGCACTGCTGCCACCGCACATTCCGCGCCGCGTCCCCGATACACTCTCACACACACACACGCGCGCGCGGGAGTGCGCCCCCCCCACGCGTGCACACGCACAGCACCGGGCCGCCCCCAGGCGCACCCACGCCGCCCCGCAGCCCGGCGCTGCCGCCGCGCCCCACACCCGCGCCCGGTGCCCCGCCTCCCACGGGCGCCCCCGCGGCCCGGGCCCCCGCGACACCCACGCCCGCCCCTCCCGCCGCGCCTGTTCCGCCGCGCGCGGCCCCACCGGCTCTCCGCGTGCCCCGCGTGGGGCCCGATCTCCATCCCGGGCGCGCACGGCCCCGCCGCCGCCACCGCGACACAGTCGCGCGGGAGGGGCGAGCGCCCGCCACGCCCCGCCGCACCTACGGACTACAACTCCCGGCGCGCACCGCGCTTCCGCGGCGCAGCCAGTGCCGCGGCGGACTACAGCTCCCAGCGTGCACCGCGGCGCTCGGGCGCCATGACGGGCGGTCCGCTGCGGCCTCCCCCGCCCCTTAGCTTTCGGTGTCCCCCAGCCAAAAGCGCTGGGAAAAACCACAATGATTGCTGAAATAACCCTCACCAAATCCTGCCTTGGACGTGATGAGGAAAATACGATGGCAAGGGCACAAAAACAAACAAACAACGTGTCCCAGAGGGACAGCTCATCACTGATGTCACCTGCAGAGACAGAGGGCTCTGCTCTACTGCCCACTGTGAGGAGGATGTGAAAAATACAGCCCAGTGAAATGTGCCTTCCACCGAAATGCTGTGAAATGAGACTTCAAAAAGGAAAAAATGATGCTGCTGTCTTTCGACTGAGAACAGTCAATGACAAATTAGTACCAGATAAAACCTAGATATGTCTCTGGAGTTGTCTGATGCCTCAGAAACCAAAGCCAGGCATTTGTAAAATGGAAATTCCCTATAACTGTTACTTGGAGTGATAACTATATGCTGCATACGTGAAAAAGCACCCGTTGACGTGACATTTCCTATGTGGTTTATTTTACCAGTACACTATTTCTGCAGAACATAGGGATACAAGGTTCTGTACTGCTGTTCTTGATAATAACATCAGTAATGTATTTTTCAGAAGGTGCTTAATGAAGAGACCAGGACTCCTCATGCATCATAATTGCATACAAATGTGGAACAACAACTTGAGTCCAGTTGTAAGGCAGAAATTCCTCTCATAGAGGCCACTACACTGATTGAAACCACTGCCTGGCATGTCAGGTCTCAGGGCATCAGACTGTGTTGACTCCCACAGTAAACATATTGGAGGAAATCAAGTCATCCGGACTACTGTGATTTTTAGATGACCATGCCTGGTGAAATAGAGCATGCAGATAAAACTAACAGATCTAATTTAGTTCTTTGTAGCTCTCAGTGCCACGTGGAAGCTTTGTCACTTGGCTGGATGCTGACACACTCCTGAGAGCCGCACAACAAACCGAAGGCTGATGTTTGCATGGTTGCCTTTGTGATCCCCAGCCATACTGAACACAGAAAGAAAATACTCTTCAGGATCACAACTTGTGCCTGGTTCTCTGTTGTGCTGAGCAGCAGACAGCTGGCATCCTGTTTGTATGACAAACACAATTTGTGGATATGGTAAAATCTGGATTTTGTCTGATTTCCACTTGTCACGAGGACAGGTAGCATCTGCCACCTTTGCAGTTCATGTGTGTGTTTGGGGTAAACAGAGCATTTGTTTATTGGTGTGACACAGTGCCCAGATGGAGCTGGACCCTACAGCCTCATGGAAATTTGACTTAATGCTTTTTCAAAAATTCATCTTTTGGCACCTCTATTTTTAGTAGTTTGTGCTAATCTGGCAATAGCATATTTGCTTTAGAAACGGAGCCTGATTGTAAGAACTTCCTACTCATCATCAATCACTTGTCATCCAATCTCACCTGGGGGAAAATGTTATCAAAAGTTTTTAAATCTGTGGGTCCAAAACTCCATGTCTGAATTTCTGCTGCCCATGGAGAATGCAGAGAAGAAAACAGGGTGGAACTGTCTGCCTCCAGCTCTGTGGTCACGAGTTTCTCCTGCCTGAAGGGAAAATCTCTCACTTGCTGGAGGTGTCCTGTGACAGTAACTGGGCCATTCTCTTCTAGACAATAGGAAGCAGCAAGAGGAACATTCAGAAACACATTTTTTGGCCTTATTTAAAAAGAGATGGATAGACAGTGTAAATGGAGAGAGCAAAGCCTTGTCACCAGTCTGTAGTACAGGACACAGCTGAGGACAGAAAGTCTGAACTCACTGCTCTGATTCTTGCCTTTGATGGTAACACTCCTGGAAAGATCTCCCATTCTTAAGTCCTGCACAGTATTTCAGTGCAGGTAGCTGCCAGCACAGCAGCCCAGAGCTGTGACAGGGATTACAGGCACAGGAGCTCGTGTGTGTCAGGTACTCGGGATATTGCCCTTGCCACAGAGTGATTATTTTAGCAAATGCATATATGGAATATGTGGGCAATGAAAGAAATGTGGGAGTGTTCCTGCTGCAAGGAGGTGTGTCCAAGGTCGTGTATGGAAATAATTATCCCTACCCAAGGGCATTTGGAATACAGTCCCTGCAGTGTCGGTATGGAGCTCCCCCTCTGGAGGCAAGCAGGCAGACCCTAAAACAAGCTGTCCTTTGGTCATGCCACATTTAGGATAGCAGCCTCAGCACAGCTCCCAGAGAAAACTCGGGGAGGCGTGGACAGTAATGACCATTGTGAACAGGAGAAATAGATGTGGGTTTTCCTTTCAGCATTTACTGCCTAGCTTCTGCAGGAAGTTCATCCTCTGAGACCACCCTGTCAGTCCATCTGCTCCTTCCTTTTCTGTCTCTGGAACTCAGTGACCAATTTCAACCAACCACGAGCAAGTTGTAGAGATTCCAGAGATAATTCCTATCCCTTAATTGTAATAGAATGTCAAATGAAGGAGGTGCTGTTGTGTAAAAAAGCCCTTTTGCATGTAACTTGTTTAGCAGCAGCCAGCTGCCCACTAGGCACATGTGTACTGCTGACCCACCAATACCACAGCTCCAAGGAATGCAAATGTACAGGGAGCAGGGAAAGATATGCTAGATTCCTTGTTAAAAAAACAATTTCTCTTCTCAATTTCTCAATCACATGATTCTGACCAAAAACTAGCAAAGATAACAACTCTGAAAAGAACTCAAAGAGAACAAACTACGGACACACTGTTCTGGGTTTAAGTAGTAATTTTAAGCCTTACATGGTATTTTGAAATAAGAACTTAGTTTGAACTCTGCTGTTTGACATTTGAAAACATAATTGTGCTCAAAACCACCCTGCATTGGTTTTGTTGTTCACAGAACAGATTATTTCTCTCAATTGCATGGGGGTCACAGGCAAAGGCAGCTCATAGTCAACTTCTCAGCTGAACACCCTTCCCTGCCCTGCAACGTAGAATGGTTGGATTGGAAGGGACATTTAGAGGTCATGTGGTCTGACATGTTCAACTCGATCAGGCTGCTCAGAGCCCCATCCAACCTGACCTTGAGTGTTTCCAGAGGTAGGGCATCCACCACCTCCCTGGGCAATCTGTGCCACTGTTCTACCACTCTCATTGTAAAAAAATTCTTTATATCCAGTCTAAATCGACCTTCTTTCAGGTTAAAGCCATCACCCCTTGTCCTATTGCAACAAACCCTGCGGAAAATCTGTCCCCATCTTTCTAGAGGCCCCTTCAAGTACTGAAAGCCGGTAATGAGATCTCCCGGAGCCTTCTCCAGGCTGAAAACCCCCGAATCTTTCAGCCTGACTTCGTAGAGAGGTGCTCCATGCATCCAGCCACCTCCGTGACTCCGCTCAGCCCCCAGCAGGTCTGGAGCCAGCCCAGGACTCGGTGTCCTACGGCACAACGGCCCTGTCCTCCATCCCCCAGCACCCTGCCGGCAGCTCCGCTTCCCACAGCCACCCCCCGGGCCAGGCCGGTGTGCCACTCACTCCTCCCAAGGACACTGTCCCTGGAGAAACCGCTTCTGGAAACCAGCACACAGCGAGATCTGCGCCCCCGGTATCGCCCCCACGGTATCGCCCCCACGGCATCGCCCCCCGCCATCGCACCCGGTATCGCCCCCCGCCCGCTGTACCTGCTCCTCCCGGCCGCCAGGAGGCGCGGTGCCAGGGGGGCGCTGCGCTGCGCCGCTCCCCGGCGCGGGCGGCTGTGCCCTGGGCTGGGCGGAGCTTCTGCGCATGCGCGGGCCCGGCTGGGGGCGGTCCGGTGTGAGGGAGGCGGCCATGAACGCGTTCGGGGCTGCGGCACCGCTCCCGGGCTCCTCGGCCGCGGCGGGGGCCCGGCACGGCGGCGGCGAGAGCGTGGAGAAGATCGACATGTCCCTGGGTGAGGAGCGGGGCCGGGGTGGCCGCTGTAGGTGACAGGGCGGAGGGCTCGGGCTGAACCAAGTGCCGGGGACGGGGAGGGGCGGAACGAACCAACGGGGGGCACCGGCTCGGGCGGAACCAACGAGGGCGGGGGGTGGGGAGGGGAAAGGACGGGACCCTCCCACAGCGGGAGCGCAGGAGGGGCGAGGGTGGCGCCGGGGGCTGGGCATAGGGGCGAGTCCTGGGCGAGCCGCCGGGAGCAGCGCGGATCCAGGGTCGCGGTCCTTTGCGGGCAAGAGCCGCGACCCCTTTGTGTCGCTTGGTGGTGTGAGCAGGCCGCAGAGCGGGGCTCTGCCTGCTTTTGGCCCGGTGAGGCCCGCACTACTCAGGCCTTAGGCTGGGCGGGCTCGGGGAGCGTCCCAGGGCCTCGCCTGGCGCTCGCAACCACAGGGATGGGTGAGGTTTGGTGGTCTCTCAGCTGGCCTGGCCTTTTTATTCTTCTCAGGTTTGGAAATCAGCAGTGGCAAGTCTCCCGTGTAACCTCTTTGCAGGATAAGACCGGCCACGCCGAGCATGACGTCACCTCTACCGCGTAGTTTGCCGTGACAATCTGCCCCGTTGTCCCCTGCCCTCCTATTGCGGGG